TTTAGCAACAAGAGATTCACATCTTGCAATAATTTATAGGCGGCTGTAGCTTGAGCTTCCGTTATGGCATCCGGAGTGGCCTGTTAAAAATGATCCTTTGTTAGGTAGGAGAAAAGAAAAAGGGATAACGGAGTGGAACATACATCTAGTAAACGACCGTCTTCAAGACTCAAGGTGAACGAAGCGATATGGTCGTTAACTCCCGAGAGGGCTTCAAAGTTTTCGTCTCGCTGTGTCTGAAATAATAAAAATTCGTTGTAACGTTCAAATGTGAAGCGTATAGGGAAAGAAAAAAGGAAGCAAGTAAAATAAAAAGAAAGATTCACCATTTGAGAAAAAGTGGGTGTCGATAATCATACAAGTTTCTTGACGCCAAAGACATTTTTCGTTGATTTCACGTGACCCAATCCAGTTATTAGTGACGTAATTATATAGCCAGTTTGCCATTAGGTGTCGTAACACGCGTTCCCCGCGAGCGAAAGAAAAAATGGCACAGCGAACAAAAGTTATTTTTTCGAGAAATGCCGGCAATGATTCGAAAGGGTCTCGATTTTCAGCAACCAAGCTTTCCGTTTCGATGCGTACAATAAATAATAATTTGCAAACATTATCGAACATTTCAAAGAAACGAACGGAATCTCAGGGTAAACAAGAAATCGACAAAGAATCCCCGCAAAATGTGGGCCAAAAGAACATGTCAACGTTTTCCGAACCTCAACGCTTAATCGAGACAACGCTTATTGCCATTTATGATTTGGAACTCTTTGAGGCAAAGCTAAATTTGAAATCCCTTGACCTTGAAAAGGCATTTCTGAATTTAATTAAGAAAATGCTAGAGTTCGGTTTTGTAAGTATGCTCCTTAATAATTCCTTTTTGAATTTGGGATTTTCTTGCGAAACAAAGATTAAACCTTGAGTTATCAATTTAAATTAGTACAGAGAAGCCGTTGAACCCTTAATAAAGCTTCGTTCGCGTCTCTCCGTTCACTTCGGAGCGAGATCAACCATGAATTCCGATTGTTCGCGGAATGGGACTCGTCGACCATTGAAAAACAATATGAAAAACAATACCAGCGTCACATCGCTCAAAGGTTCAAAATCCAACAAAAACTTTGAGAATTTTAAGAACGCTAAAGATTTTGGACATCTCTATTCCGAGCTATGTGTTTTTCCTATACCGGAAAATAGCGATGATGTTAATCCCGAAGTGAAGTTGTTGGTTTTGTCATACTTAGTGTGTGCGATACGATGCTTTGTAGAATTAGAAGGCGCGCAATTTATAAATGTATGTGTTGTAAAGATTTTCGTGGCAAACTTGGATTTTGTGAAGTGTAATTTCTTGAGTTTGTTCTTGTCGGTTGATTTCGGTTTATTAAGGTGTAACTTTCATCAATTTCTCACATTGGAAAAATTTCATTGATAACTAATTACGATTGATTTGTTAAAAAAAAAAAGATCCTGCCAAAACTATTGATGGCTAATGGGAACCCCATATCTTGGGCCCACATCATGAAAAATAGCGATTCGACACTCGCGAGCTCTCATCTAGAAGCTTTAATGCGCGTTATTTCGAGAGCTTGCGGAAAACTACAAAGTTCGACATGTAATTAGTCATAAGGCAGAGCTTGCTATAACTCGCATTTTTCCTTATCAAATTTACCTAATCTTAATTTCCTTAAAGCGGATGCGCCCGCAGATGTCTTGAGGTTACGAGCTGTATCAATAAAGGCGTTCACATCGACCGATCGTTACGATCCCTCCTCTCTATTGGATCACATCTTAAATTCTGCCGTGCAGTGTGAGAAAACGTCGATAAATAATGGTAGGTATATTTATCAAGCATGAATGTGACGAAGTGCTTGTTTCACGCGATTCATTTAAAATTCGTTTAAAATTCCAGGCGGTTTAGTCAATTATCGGGAAATATTGACTTTCCATGAAGAGATGGCTAATATTCTAGAGGAACGCATGCCCTCGGTCATTCAAAACCTGAAGTTTTTTAAATGGTTAGATCATTTTTCGCGGGTTGCTCGAATGGTACATATTAGATTAAGATAAATTGCACTTTCAATCGTGTATCAGGTTCGCCTTCTTTACAACAATGCATTCTACAAATAGGTCGGTGACTACACGAAAAATATAGTCATCCGCGAGAAAGTTATCGATTGCCTATCAAGACAAAGCACATTGAAAGGGTCAAAATGGTTCACAGTTAATGCGCAGATTATATCTCTGAAAATAGGAATCATTTCGTTTGTCCTGGAAGAATTGGTCATCCTTGATCATGGTGCGTTTCGATATGTTATGTCATTCCTTGCAGCTTTATTAATTCGATGATTTACTTTCAGAAATGGATGAAACAGCTCGATTAAAGGGTGCGAGGAATGCGATCGGTCACTTCTCAGATATTCTGAAAAGGAATGAACCGATTAGCGAGAAAGTGCATGTTATTTCTCAATTCTTTCAATCCGCCGAGTCACTGCGGCGACCATTGATTAAAATAGTCGAATTCGCGGAGGACATGATTAAACATGAAACCAAAGAACCCGCTGAGGTGAAATCATTTTTCTTAAATTGTTTGCTACGGCATTCGCGGCCACCACGTCGTCCACGTTCGGGGGAATCTATTTTTGAAATGACCCTCGACTCCATGGGAGTATTCACCGAGGAGATTGCCTTATGCTTGGACAATGTGATCACAGATTATTTCAACGAATATAAGGTAAGGTATACGTGACACCGAGATTAACTTATACCGTTGCCCCCTTTACTGATTGCTCGGCACTTATTTCGCAGGATTATTATCTTCATGGTAAAGGGGCGGAGCACCTGTTGCGTCCTGATAGGATCTCGCTAGTGTTGATAGATACATATGAACTACTTTCCAGATTTTCCTCATTCGGCTTCCATTCCGAAAATAAATTTAACCATTACATCGAACAAGCATTTCGGATCGCTCAGCGTACATCTTGCATAGAAGGACTTCGAACGATTTCAAACGCGTACTATCGCATAGCAGTGTACTATTACAATGATAATCAAATTAAGGTTGCGGTGGAGCCTATGCGACAGTCGTGTGAAATTCTGTGCCGATGTGTTCATGAATTATTAAATGTCAATGGTTCATCTGAAAAGAGTGTGGAAGAATTCCAGTCACAACTGAGCAAAAGATTTGAAGTGTTAGGGGCCTGTTGGAATTTACTGGGAGAATTCAAGGTATGCGCGTAGATTCATATTCGATCATACAAATTATATATTGAAAATTTTTTTTTTTTTTACTTTATTCATTTGAAGAATGCCCGTGATGCGTTCGAAAAATCCCTGAGATGCCTTCCGAAATCGGAATTCTTTAGGTTCGCAGCATTAGCGTCTTCACAAGGCGTTCAATGGGTTTCTCAGCAAGCACCAATAATTCCAAAGTTAATCGAGCGCTATATTAAACTCTCAATTATTGATTGTACGGGTGGAGAGTTCACCCCTGTACACGAAATTTTGATGGACTTCGAATTCGACAGCATTGTCCTAGCCGGATTGTTTGAATACGAACTCCGAGTGCTGAGGTTATTCGACGATAAGATTGATAGTTCGAATGTGGAGTTTTTGCTATACGAAAAGCTACTGGAGTGGTATGATGGAGTGAATTATCCGATACGAAGGGCCAGGTTTGATTTAAACCTAATCCTCCTTTGCTCGTTCGTCTTTAATTTTCAAGATGCATTACTGATTACTCTAAAAATCACTCACCCAATCTAAATAGAATATTGATAGAAGGGTCAAAAATTGCGAGTCACAAAAAAGTGTGCCCAGAGATAACCTCAATCAATTTGATTGAGGAGGCATTGGATCTTTTAAAAACCGACGTACCGATTCCATTTCACATTTCGCTCCTGCCTTCTGATAACCCGACAAGTTGATTAAATTAGAATTTCTTTATAACTTGAAGAATTTAGGACAAGACTCAAATCTGGTACACCTCCGCTCTTATTACTTGGCCATCGCTTATTCTTGGATGGGTATTCTTACGTCGGAGTCGGAAAGTCGCGCATCGGAGTCCTTCAAGTGTGCTTTGACCCTAATGAAAGGAATTCTGACAGGTGTTCCTTCGTGCTTTCATGGTAAAGTTGCCCCGCTGCAAAATGTGGAAAACTCACGAAAAAACGTTGACGATGTGGAACGATTTTATGGACATTTACGTATCCTTTCGCTGGATCATGAAACCTTCTTTGATCTTTAATCACATTCTATTTATTACTTTTGACTTTCTATGGTCGCGACTTTCTACTCAGAAATGCTCGCCGACTATTTTGCACTTTTTGACCGGCCGGTCAACCATATTCTGACGTTGAAATTGATGCTAAAAATAAATAGTGGAATGAGAGGAGACGCAGACGACGCGTTTTCGGAATCCATCGCATTGTACACCCGGATCAGTAAAATATACCTGAGCCTTGGTTATACCGGAAAAGCGGGGTTGGCTTTGTCGCAAGCTGAAAACATTCTGAATTCGCACAAATGTACGGATAATGCGAGGTTGTCATGGATGATAGGGTATAGTCATTATTTATGCATGATGGGAAACATGGAGAAAAGGTTCGTCACCGTGATGCGACTCAAATCTCGATATATTCCAAATGATAACGGCTAAAAAATTCCTCTTATCTTCTAGCTTTTCATTGTTTAATAAAACAAAGACCATAGCTGAATGTCGGAGTGTTCAGCTTAACGCCCGGAATAAAAAGCACGAACATCTATTGTTATCGGAGGCTTATTTGACACGTTCATCCATTGCTATACGTCTAGTAACTATTTTCTTTTCTTGTTTGACCTCATGTTTCTCGACGTTATATGCTGAAGATCCCTTTTTCTTTTATAGGGTTACCTGGAGGAAGCTATAAATAGTTGTACAGAATCTCTTCGAATATTTAACCGATTGATGAGAAATATCAGCCGAAATTTTCAAACTGCTTCCGATCGACCTCTCATCGAAGCCAATCCATTTATTGAAGACCGAGTTGTGTCTGAAGAGCCGACGGATGGGTCCAAAGAAAACATCTTTGATGGTTTTTTGACATTGTCGGCCCAAAGATGGAAATGGCGTGTGTCGCAGGTAGATCTAGATGTATCGTTATCTCTTTGTTCCGCGTGCTTCTTGTGACTACTAACTCTCGACAACAAAAAAAAAAAAAAAACGACCATTAACAGAGATTACTCGAATGTTATAACAAACTTGGTCGGCTCCATATATTGCGCGGGGGAGTCAAGGAGGCGGAATATATGTTCAAGCAAGCGTTGTTACTTACTGATACATTGAAAGCAAAACCAATCATTAGTCAATTCTTGCTCGATATCGCTGAGTTGGAATATCGAAAGCATTGTTGGGAAGAAAGCGAGGATAAATTGTCAAAGGTTTCCGAATATCATCAAAAGGTACTTGTCCTTCTGCATACTGCGCGTTCAGATGCATGTGATATGTATTTTCGTGGCCAACGATCTATTTCACTATCTCTGCTTACAAATACTTTAAGGCGCAAGTGTTATTAAAAGAGGCAGCGAAGGTAAAATTATGTTTGGGTGACTTTAAACGTTGCGAAGGTGATTTCAGATGTAGACGGGGTGATTTAGAATACCAGGCTAAATGTTACGATCTGGCAATAAATTCTTATCAACATGCCAATGAAATTTTAAATGAAATTATGAAAAATGAATTCATATCGAAAATCGAGCAAATAGACACTAGGTAATGTCACGCGATATTTGTTTTCTTCCATACCAGATCATCATTAAATATTGTCAATCGCTCGCTTCCATTTTAGCGTGTTTCAAACACCGAGATGCAAGAAGCTTGTCACGAATCTGATATCGACACCAAACTCCAAAGAATTTAATGAAAGTAAGTCTTATAAATATCACCGAACTGTTTATCGCCTTTCAATGGTTTCTTATTGACCTGTCGACCAAATTTGCGATCAGACAAGATACAGTATGAGTGCATTCTACTCTCGCAAATGAAATCCGAATTGCATCGTCGACAAGGTTTGCCATATGATCGTTTAGGTGAACATATTATCCTGCACATAGATCAATTATTTATTGCATGCAAATCAACAGGTTGGTTAATAAGCAAGAAAGGTGACATAGATGAGGGTCTTAAGTTGATTGAACTTGGAAAATTTTCGGATCAGTCTTGTCTGGAAAAGGTCAGTCCAACTACGTTTACCCTAGAGTTTTCTAGACCTCATTTTCGCACAGCGTGACTGATGCCGATGTCTCCGTTTGAAGGCAGAATACCTTCTCTTGTTGGGTAAGACTCAAATCATGAAAATCTCTAGCGCACTTGTCAAGCAGAACTGCTTGGCGTTTGATAATGTTCAAGACTCCGGTATACCTATAAAATTTTTTTTAAAAAAATTTTTTTTTTAGTCGGACATAGTCGTTTTGTTTAGACCTTTTTATTTTGGCTCTAGTGCTATCCCTCCCCTTAATTACGAAATCGACGAAAAGGAGATCGAGAAAGACTAATCAATCGCTAAAGTTGGAGGTCCCATCAAGCATGCTAGAAGAAATTGATAAAGCAATCGAATACCTCACCGAAGTATATGACCTAGTCTATGAGTGTGGCCCGACCCGGATTTTGCAAGAAGCTGGATTGTGCATTACGATGGCGCACATGATTAAGGTGTATGGACAAAATCAGAGCGATATCGATCAGATTGAGACGGTTTCCATTTGTTCGCTTTATCTAGGTGAGATACGTTTGACGGGTTTCCACTTTTAATCCAAATCAGATTTCTTACATGCGACATCGGTTGTATAGAAATGTCAAAAGCTTTAACTGCGAAAAGAGAAATGGTCACCGCGCTGAATGAAAAATTAAAACCTCCGCTGTCATATAATGATATGCGATGGCCACCGCAACTTTCAAACTCGACATGTTCCGATAATATTCTAGTGTCGAAAGATGCCGAGATCCTTGATGAAGAAACAATGTCACGTATGGACTTTATAAGAACTCTGTCAGATAAATATAAAAATGAAAGACTCTTGACGCACGAGGAATTTATTCCCGAATTTTCCGACATTCTACCACACAACTGGACCGTGTGTTCAATATCCATCGACGTTGAAACGAATGACATGTATGTCTGTCGATATCGCCGAGAGGCGGTGCCCCTGTTGCTCAGGTTGCCTTTGAAGCGTCAGTCGAGCAGAGAAGGGGAAGATGAGGGTTTTTCATATGATGACGTAATTGGCGAATTCAACGAAATCCTGGAATTAAGTGGTCAGAGTATGCGAGTTGGAAAGGAGTATCAGACAAAGCAAGAAAAGTTGAAGTGGTGGAAAGAGAGGAAGAAATTGGACGAGAGGATGAAAAATTTTCTCGAGAATATTGAGAATTGTTGGTTCGGCGGTTTCAAGGTAATTCAATTGCGCTTCGTGCGGTTGCGTTTCATCGACTTTTTGATTCTTCTTTAATTGGATCTCAAATCTCAGGGCATACTAATGGCGCATGCACCTGAGGATGCTGAGCTAATCTCCTGTTTTAAAAAACGGATCGACAATCTACTTTCCGAAGCCTGCAAGGCGTCCATCAAATATCAGAAGAGAAATAAACTTGACATCGAGATTGAACTATGCCGGTCTTTCCTTCGTTTAGGTGAAGATGCGATGGACCAAGATATCGAGGATATCCTTTATTTTCTTGTGGATGCATTTAACAAATACAACGATCAACAGATAGGTTACGATGAGGTGGATTGGGACCAAGTAAGCACTTTCCGTTGAAAGATTTTGAAAGGAGACATTTTATTAACTAGCGATTTCTTTGATATCCCGTTTGATTAGCTCACTGTAAATGTTCGAGAGATGCTTTCTGGCAGTAAAAAGTCTGCCTCTGTTCCCCCGGATCCGGACCAACATGTTATCCTGATTCTAGACAAGAACGTCCAAATGTTACCGTGGGAAAGTTTGCCGTGTTTGAGGCATCAACCTGTCTCACGGTTGCCCTCTTTTTCCTTCCTGAGAGACCGAATAATGTTAACCGAGCACATTCATCGTCGGAAAACCAATAAAACGGATTGGTCCGATTATGCAGTCGATCCGAACAAGTGTTTTTTTGTTTTAAACCCGGGTCAGGATTTGAAGAACACCCAAGATGAATTTGAAAACTTCGTGAAGAGGTTCGTGCCGCACCCATTCCTTCGTCTTTGTTTTTTTTTTTTTTTTATCAACGTTGCAAGTATGATGATAATACTTCATGATGCATCAAGCTTTCAAGGTTGGGATGGCGTCATTGGTCGATCTCCGTTAGAACAAGAGATTAAAAACGGCTTAACTAATAATGATCTATACATGTAAGTTCTCGCCAACTAACATTATGTTATAAGTTGCGTACAAACCTTAAGACTTTCATCAACTTTAAGATACTTTGGTCACGGGGCCGGAGAGCAATACATACGAAATCATCGTGTTCAAAGTCTGGATCGGTGTGCCGTAACCTTATTGTTAGGTTGCAGTAGTGGTCATTTAAAGAGTAGAGGTGAATTTGACCCGTCGGGCACGGCCCTGAGCTATATTATAGCGGGATGGTTTGTATTTTATTTTATTTCTTTCGATATTTACCTGATAATATTACATCACGGTCTTACTTTTCATATGACAGTCCGGCATTAGTGGCAAACTTGTGGGATGTCACAGATAGAGACATAGATCGATTTAGTAAAGCCCTATTTAGTAATTGGAATTTGCAGCCGAATGAAGAAAGGTTTGACGAGAACATCCCAAATGTTCAAAACATTGATTCTGATACTTCAACCAGGGGTGCGATATCTTTGGTTCAAGCAGTGTCAAAGTCAAGGGATGGATGTGTGCTGAAATATTTAATCGGTTCGGCACCAGTGGTCTACGGGATCCCTTGCTATTTGAAGCGATAGAAAGGGTCATTTGACGTAACGAACTATTTAAATTCTCACTATTTAATATTCCCGAACTTACAAAAGTAATCGATGTCTATTAGTAAAGTATTTAAATTTTGGAATTCCCACATTTTACCGCCCACTCGTTAATATGACAACCTATTGTTAATAGTACGACTTAAAAATTCAATCCGTTCTATTTTGAAAGTTATTCCACGTCACTGGATTTTTAAGGACTTCGAGTATTACTGCTACTCCTACTACTACTGTTGTTACCCATTCTACTGAAAAAAAAACTTTTTTTAAATAGTACACTAAATTATACTGAAACTATGAATTTACTTCTATTTAAAGGTTAGATGAATTGTATTTATTATTATAATCTGATCAGATAAAAATAATTGAAGAATCCAAACTGAATGGTCAAACATACAGTATTATTATCTTAAATATGCAATACATACAGTAAATGAATTATTGTCATGATTTAACTCAGGTAAAAAGTTTTTTTAAGGTTTTGCGAATCCTTACAAATGATAATTTCGAAAAGTCAATTTACGAGAATGGCTCATCACGGGAAGCTTGCAAATTAGCATGACATTTATTTAATGTTAACGATAAGTTGAAGTGATGCGTTGCATTCACTTTTTTTTAGTGAGATCAAATGTAAATTTATAAGATATCGAGTACATCCGCGACCATTCCAAAATATTAATTTTACACGCAAAATCTAATAGCCTATTTCTAACCTGCCACCTAATAATTCTCCGATACCTCAACACGCACTTTTGTATATTACAACAATAATTAATATTAATAATCTATTCAGTCGTGTTAATTTTTATTAGATCTTATCAGACCAAAACTAATTATCGAATAACGAACGTCTATCTTGGCTTGAAATCATCTTTTATTATCACTTGTGCATTCCGATTAATATACACGTGGTTTTTAAATGATGTTTTGAATTTTAAATTTTCAATCATAAAAAGAAAACATAGACATTAAGAAATTAAAGCATACACACCGTATAAGCAGAATAGGTTTTGAGCCCTCGTTTCTCGTATTTCTTTCTGTACGTGCTGCTAAGGCGACCGGCGGCGATGGGAATCGAAGAATCGGGCTTGTTGAATTTTTTCGCATTTTTTACGATCAAATCGAGGTCATGTTGAACCCCCTTTAAAAAAAAAAAAAAAAAAAAAAAGAGGCACGTTGCGTTATCCCAATTAAATAGGTGTGAAAAGGAAAAGAATTATATGCACGCCGACCAATCTCGACTTACAAATTGATGACGGTAGAATCTCCGATGAAGCCTCTGGCGGATCATTTCCAATGACATGGGGTGAGCGATGACATTGAGATATTGTGGAAACATTTGGAAATTAACGTGCACATAAAAACAAGTAAACATCGGTTCATTAAGGAGCTCTTCAACAATGGTGAGGAGCTTGGTGCGGACTACGATTGAAATTTTAAGTAGTAAATAAGGGTGAAAAATATCTCCATTCATATGTATCAGAATGGAATATCAACCTTCTTCACTCATTGAACTAGTAGGTAAATTTTCTGACCCAAAACTTTTAAGCTCCCAAGGATAAAAATCCTCCCGTTCATCAGTTTCGTCCCTAGGATCGCAAATGGAATATTATTTCTATAATTGACAATAATACTAATATTCATCTAATTATAAATTATATATTTATATATATAAACCATTTCACTGTAAAGGATGGGACAGATTCCGACCATAGGGAGGAATTGTTCTTTGATACTATTGTTCCGGGGTAAAATCCATCTTGATAATAGACATCCACCTTATCGCTGACATCGAGATTACAGTTTCGATTCATACCCTCGGCAAATTTCTCGTATGGTAAAATAAACTCTCGCAATCCATTAAGATCAACGTATGGGATAACGTATTTACTTCTCGGTCTTCTAAAATTACGCTCAGGGGAAACGGGATATTTTTCCCCCGCCCACGTCGGATGAACTATCCGGCATATTATTTCCGCAAACGTTGAAATTTCTGGTTTATTTCCAGAGCTGTCGAGGACCAATTCCGAGTAATCGTTGACCGGCGGCAGAGTCTTATTTGCTTTTGCCTCAACCATCTCAACTTTCTCATAGTATTTCGTCCTGTCGACTTCTCTATCCTCATCATTCGTGTACCACGTTACAGCGTCGATTTGGAAAAAGGCTGCGTTTGAGAGATCGGCTTTATGATAATAAGGAAAGCTCGCTACATTTTGTGTCATTACGTTAAGCAACGCACAATTTTGATAATGCTCCGATACGTAATTGTTAAATGCCTGATGTCCTCTCTTGAAGTAAACAATATAGTCACCAGGCTTTAAAAATAAAAATAATAAGAAATTTTGATGTGAACAAGAAAATACAGAAAACGAATTCAAATTAAAGTAATAATAATAATAAAAGACTTGCTTGGGGTATGTAGGTAAAATTTGGATCCACTGCCTTGATCCAATCAGGACGACGATCACTCTCCTTATTTGACTCGGGTTCAATGGACTCATGATTGCTCAATGCATCAAGCCCCGTGTTTTCTATTATATCCTCGGATCCACCATTTTCGGGTATATGCTTGGAACCTGATGTGTGATCTGATATGTGTCCATTATTTCTACGTGAAGGTGATCGCGAATTGCGCCGTGCTTGATCGTTGCCGGACATCTCGTATGTTGAAATCCTTGAGTTTGAAGTTTGATATTCAGACGTCTCATTATTGTCGGAAAGTAACGAATCGCTTTCATTATAGTTAATACGCGCACGTACTCTTCTCAGCGGTCGGCTATTGGTGGTGGTGGTGGCGATGCTGGGACCACCATTCTCTTCTATATACTCATCATCATCATCCCTTCCTCGCTTCCTGTTTTTAGCGTAACTAAATTTACTCGGAACGGGTTGATCATTGTCCGTATCAGTATAAAGGTATTGTTCGTGGTCACTTGCATTAGGTGAAACCTCTCCGCGTGCCTGCGCTTTTCCCTTAACACGCCCTCCACTTTTCGCACCCGCGCTTGGGCGTCCCCGAGGATTTTTGTTTCGTTTGTTGGGTACGTAATCGCTGTCATTATCATCGTTGTCAATCACCTCCTGTTCTATCTCTTCAAATATGGAATCCTCCTTAAGGAACCGATCCTCCGCATCACTATCCTCACTGGTTTCAGAATCGGACAATTCGGGGTCATAATTTTGATCGCGTTGTTCGTCGTCCTCGGGTATGGGAATTATGGGAATTTCAATGGTCATAGGGTCAATATCATCAAGTTCATCCTCCGATAATACGACCTTTCGTCTGTGTTTCTGAATCTCTTTTATGTCCATCTTCTGATTCAAGGGTTTCAACTCGAAAGGATCTTCGGCGAGTCTTTTGGCCTCCTCGATTATCAATTCGAGCCGTCCCCGATTCATGATATTAATTTCATTCTCGGTCATGGGACCCGATATTCTTTTGATAAAATCTATGCTATGCTGATATGCGTACGGCGTTCCCCGACTACTGATCACTTCTTGTTGGATCGGGCATTCTGCGTGAACCCAACCATCATTATATAGCATAACCCCAGGGTTCGCGTTAGACGATATTTCCACGATCTCCGAGTACAAATCTTCAGTCGAAAATTTCTGACCAAATTTTGCGCGCTGTATTTGGTGTGTGTATAATTCTTTCTTAAGTCCGATCAAATAGCATTTACCAACGTTATCAGTAACGGCAAACATTGCACCTGTCAAAAGTCATTGGAGGGCATCAGATGCCGTGAATGAGTGACAGACTGAAATTAACTGTCGACACGTACCGTCTTCACGCCACTTGCCGTCGTAGAATTCGAACGTCTCGTCACCTCCGTCACCTTTATGATGCGGTTCGTTACTTAATAAATCAAGATCGTAATGCGACCAAGCTGTTTGAAGATAATTCGAATAAGCTTAACAAAATAAATACAGTTAAATTGTAGCATCAATTGATACTTGCATATCAATTCCTCTTTGTGGTCTACGTTCCAAACGGCAATCCGATCGTCGTACCCTGCGGTCATAAAGATCTTAGGATCTCGCGGATTAACATCAAGAACATAGAATATTTTACTATGCGCCTGAACATAGTGCCGCAGTCTTGTTCCTGTGGCACTATCGAAGACATTAATGTCCCCGTTATTGTGACCACAGATGATATATTGGTCGTTGCAACTCCACCGTACGGTAGTGAGAGGGACCCCTTCGACAAGCTCCTTCGACTTCCAGTCTTTGAGATCTTTATCATAATCCCACAGTAATACTTTTCCGTCATCCGACCCGGATATAAGTTGATTGCTAAAATGTGCAAATTCCAGAGAATGCACTTTCTTAGTATGACCCACCAAATCTGATAATAAAACTGGTGTGAAGTATAGCTGCCTAATTAATTTTTGAATAATTCCCGGCACTGGATCGTCTTTAGCATTATTCTTTTCTGAAGATTTAACCGAATCTTCTTTGTACTTCTTTTCCTCCAAATCATTTTCCGGTTCATCGAGATTCCCCAGTGTGGTATCAGATTCGTGATCAGACAGCATGTCAAAGTGATCACCGATACGCTCGCGATTAGTAATTTTGGTTTCATTGTATTCCGAAGTAGTTTTATTATCTGCATCTGATTCATGGACGGGAGGAATGACTTCATGACGCAAAGTCATATCGTCTTGATCACGAGTACTTGCACCGTTCGCAACTTCTTCACCTTCGAATGCATCGTCGAAATTAATTGGGTCAGGCACCTCATCGACATCCTGATCTAGAAGGTCATCATCACCACCTAGCATTTCCAATTGAACCTCACAGTCCGAGTCGATGACCATTCGATCATTCGCACGAGCTTTTCGAATAATGTCCGACAAGTTATCATCAGTATCCATGTTTTCAAAACCATCTTGGATGTCTTTGAGGTCCGTTTCCGCGGTCTCGGGAATAGGAAACTCGCCGAGGTCCACGTCATTCATGTAGGACCTCTCCGATTGTGGTGGTTCCACGCGCGTACTAGATTTCTTGCTCGCCGAATCGACTGCATAATCATTAACACTTTGTTGTGAACCATCACTCGGGCATGATCCTTGTGGTTTGACAATAATTTTCTCCTCGAGGTCAGAGCGCCTTTGTGCCCTACGCACGCAACGCATCTGTGGCGAACTTTGATTGACTGTCTCACGGTCCTTGCTGCTATCCTCGTCAATGTAGACTGGCTGGTATTCCGGTATGGTGGCCAAATGCTCCCCTACGTATTTAACCAAATCAAACTTTTCAATAGCTTCTTGGACACGAGCCTTATCATCAGCCCCGAGTTTCGAATAGTCGTCCATATAGTTTTCCTGCTGTTGTAGACCCTTAATAAAGGTTTTATCCTTTATCGTCGAGAAGACACGTATCAGTCCGTCATTCCCACCAATTGCGAATCGAGTACCAGTTCGATTGAAAGAAGAGGTCATGGAATACGACCTGGTCTTGTATAAAACTGCATCCGGTCGTGTGACTTGAGCATTCTCAATGTTCACCGGCACTTTATCGTGAGCCCTATCATATCTAACCAAGTAAAAATTGCTGGATTTGCACGTTGCTAGAATATAACAGTTCTCGGCAAGTGGGGTTGGTGAGAATTGGATAGAGGTTGGAACGGAGTCCTAGAAAGTGAACTAAATTTACCATGACTTGATTATAAAGAATAATGGAAAAACGATTTTACTTACAAGATGGAATTTCGTAATTTTTCTGTAATTCACAAGGTCAAATAAACAAACATTTTTATCTCCACACGCAACAGCGAGAATGTCATTCTCCTTGTTTATCGCCATGTCAACGATCCCTCCGTAGGTGCAATTAAATGTACGTAACAGGATACCGTCGTTACTAGACCAAATCTTAACCTTATTGTCTTCATTCCCAATTATTATCCTTTGTCCGGAAGGATCGAAAAGGATATTATATGACGGTAGGGAATGACAACCGTCGAGTGTGATTAAAGCACTAAAGCTTTTATATAAAACGTTTGGTGCCGAATCAGCGACTATATTTGCACCACCTAGTTGTCGTCTTATAAGTGCCTCCACTTTCGTATTAAAAAAGAAATACCATTAGCGAAAGCGTAGCTAATTATACTTCGCCAATTAAGTAAATTTACACACACCGTGATCGACCCTTTCAAATGTGTCGAAATGTAACCTCCGAGGCGCAAGTGAATTACATGCTTTGAAAGAGAAATTTTTGTTAATACTAAGGGGCTGCATCGCGTCCCTCATGTACGATTTAGAATGATACATGAGAAATTCCTGAATTGATATGAGATACACGTTAAAATAAAACACGGAAACATTCGTTATAATCAACAAGACATGTTAATTACCAGCTCCTTCCATGTCTGGGTGAGCCATTCGCCAGTAGGAGAAAGTCTCTTGGGCAACAACTCTGGGTACATCTCTACTGTTTCAATCATATCATTATAACCCTTCTCGGTTCGCGAGTCGCTCTTCAACACGTGTAACGCTTGTAAAATTACATCTAAAAAATGTGAGCGATATCAGAAAGTTTAGTGTCAAGGTTGCAGCTCAATCGATGGATTATGTTGAAACATGATATATTAAGCAACATTAATCTCCATATTCAAAAATTCTCACACTTGTTGCATAAACAACACATTGAGCATAAATCCAATCTCAACCTTGTTAAAAAATATGCCCCAACTTTACGTGTCAGCACTGACAGATCCCTTCATTGAGTATTTTAATTGAATCTAATTACTGCTTGGTCAGACAAACGTCTCATTTAACCCAACAAAGCGAATTACTTACTATGTCGATACTCGATTTGTTCTTCTTCTGAAACCTTTCGAGACTGAACCCCTTCTTCCGACTTTTCTTCCTGAAACATCTCATTTGGTGTCTCTTTCAGTTCTTCTTCAGAAACTGCCACGGGTGGATTTTCCTCGGGAGTCTTTACAGGTTGCGCCTCTATAAGGATCTTTTCCTGCTTGACTTCCTCTACGCGATCTTCAAGTTTCTGAGTAGTCAGAATGTCAGCTCCAGGCGCGATTGAATCTTCGAGATCAGAATAATCCTCGCTCGCATCGTAGAACTCTTCGTCAAAACCTTCGTCACTGTCTGGTTCATACTCATCGTCACTCATGGTTTAGGCGGTCAAGGCTTGCAGGAAAAAAATGTGCGTATTAAACTATTAAAAGACTCGGAGAACGTGTAAATATGAATGGATGTCTGAGTATACGCTGAAATCTAAAATTTTCAATTCGAGTTTTCGGGTCTTTATTGACATTTGGTGTGTGACACGAACTATAACAGGTCACACGATCAATAATTTGGGTATTGGCTGTTTTCCAAAGATCAGCGAACAAAACACATTGGTCTATTTACTTTACCAGTGAGATCGTGCAAAAAAAAAAAAAAAACAAACAACGCTACAAAGTTTTAATTCTAAACGATGCATTCAGTTACGGCCATACACAGTGAAAAGCACCGGAACCCGTCCGATCTCCGAAGTTAAGCCACTGATGGCCCCGTCAGTACTATGGTTGGGGACAACATGGGAATACGGGGGTGCCGTAACTTTTGCAATTTTTATTGCTCGCGAATCACGTGGTTACACTTTTTTTTTTAGAATAAAAGGCCTGCGACTTGAGTCCTCTCGCAGAAATGCAAAGTTCAAAACGGCAAAGAAAACTCATAAGGAAACAACTTCAATATCGAAATGCCCAATCTTCAACCTACTCTACCAATACACCATTCCGTGCCGCGGAAAGGAATTTCAAATCGCGCCTACCGCCACCTGATTTTAATAATGTGATCGACTTTTATAATATCGATAATTGTTGTGAAGAAATTAAAAGTAAAATTGTCGAAGTAGAACTAAAGGCTGATCTAGACGAAGAATACGGGGAACTGTTTGGAAGTTCTGATGGGATCGAAAACGTGAATATGAAAAAAGCATATTGCATCAAAGATTTACCGGGTAACCAAGTGCTCCGAGTTATCTGTTTTTGGTCTGCCCACGCTCACTTTCCATTTCTATCCGTTTTTTTCTCTAGGATTTATATTTATCCGAAATCCATTCACTCCTGAGGCACAGAAAAACATAGTTAAACGATGCCTTGAGGATTTCACGAGGAAACCAAACCTTAGTAATCTTGATACACATTATGTCTTACCCAAACAGGGAATTTGGGAACTTCACGAAAGAGCTTATAAAGGTCAATTGAATGAAGAAGATGATGAATTTTTCGTACCATTAAAAGCTACATCAATAGAAGAAAACACCGAGCGATGCATCGATGATAACGAATCATCACCAATATTACAATTGAAAGATCAGAAGGAAGACTCTTCAAACATAAATTCCAATATGGCTCAATGTTTGGAAAACAAAGAATCTTCAAATTTGAACGAAGAAAAAACCGATCCTCCCCCATCATCTACCGTTCCGATACTCCCACCATCTGAGCTAATTAGGAAACTCAGATGGGTGACACTGGGATATCAGTATCATTGGCCAACAAAAACATACCATTTAGATCGTCGTTTTGATTTCCCCAAAGACATTAATTATTTAGCAAAAGCAGTTGTCAGATCCGTAGATGGAATTGGGTTGCCGGATGGTAGTTTTATACACAGATATGATGTTGCAAAATGGAAGTCCGAGGCCGGTGTTATAAATTACTATCAACTTAAAGATAATTTAATGGCGCATGTTGACCGGAGTGAAATAAATATGGATGCACCATTAATTTCCTTTAGGTCACTAGATCTCAAATGTGTACACGGATTCTATATTTCAATTCTCGCAATAACTCACACTAGTTTTGTACTTTATTAGTTTTGGACATTCGTGTATTTTCCTTATCGGTGGTTTGACGCGTGATACTCCACCGTTAGCAATGTATTTACGAAGTGGTGATATTTCGATTATGTGTGGCCCTAGTCGAGGATGTTTTCACGGTAATTATTATTTTCGGAAACGGTATTTGATTTTCATTCTAAAAGCCTCACGCTTTCATCGCTTCAAAGGTGTTCCACGAATTCTAGAAGGGACACTTCCGAAATATTTTGAATTCAATGATTCGGATAATCCGGAATGGAAAATTTACGCGGATTACATGTCAACGACGCGTATCAACATCAACATTAGGCAAGTATTTTAACTTCACCTGATTCCGACGATTTGATATTTATAACTTTGGATAAGTTGGTGGACATAAGATAGATAAATTAAAAAATATAAAAAATGATAGTTTTAATTTATTTTATAATATTAAATAAATAACTAAAAAATAAATATGTAATATATTACAAAGTAATAAATAATAAATCATATTTAAGAAAAAATTAATTTTTATTTATTCAAATGGTAGATTGAAATAATTTGTAATCAGGTCAAATATTGTTTATTACCATACATAAACCACCGTCTTTATAGTAAATTTACCTTTTATTTTTTATTAATAATTTTCTTCTTTTTTTTTTTTTTTTTTACTAATAAACTTTTTTGGGTTAAAGTAAAAGTAATAGATACTGTAGATCCAAAGTAATCTTTTTTTTTTTTTTTTAAATGGGCTTATGCCTAATCTTTATTAGATTCCAAATTACATATATACATTATGCAAAGCATGTGTATAGGGGTATATATTTGGGGGAGGTAAATAAAGAATTCAATAAGCTAAAGTTACTTTGAAACCTATTGCCCTTTCATTTTACAAGCATCTTCTTGAGCATGTTGGTGTCATTGAAAATGAAAAGAAAATAAAATAAAAATTGAATGGTCATATACTATACTAAAATGGTATCAGTCATGCTTTCTAGTATATATACATCCTGATTTAATTTTCTCTCCTAGGATAATATGAGAAGAAGCTTCTACTAAGTCTTTACAGAAATAAGATGGAAGTGACAAGAAAGACTTTATAGTTTTGAGACTTGTGAAAAGGGAGTATTTGGGAAAGTCCAATTGAGACTTTAAGAAAAATATTTGAGAAATTTATCCTTCTACTAATATATGGGTTCACTTATTATATTATTAATGTCATTATTATCACTAGCCAAAATTATATTATTTAGTAACTGAATGATTACTGAATTTAATTAAATTTAATAATAAAAATATTATTAAATTCTTTTTGATTACTGCCACTTAATATATTACTATTTCAACAATAAAGTGATAATCAAAAATTTAATTATTAAAAAAATTTTATAATCAAAAATTTATCAATTAAAAGTGTAACAATAAATTGTCAAAAAATTCATTAACAATTCATTAAATAAATTATTAACTATTTAAAAAAAATTTATTAAAAATTTATTACAATATTATTTATTAATAATTTAATAAAAATTCAGTATTAATTTATTAATAATTTATCAAAATTTCATTAATAGTTTATTAATAATTTAACAATTATTCATCAAGTTTATTCATTAAAAATTCATCGATTTATTAAAAATTTATCAATTATTTATTAAAAGTTTAACAACTATTTATCAAAACTATTTATTAAAAGCTCTTTGATTATTTATTAAAAATTTGATAACTATTTATCTATTATTTAACAAAATTGATAAAACTTGCAAAAAAAATTATTCATATTTATAAATTATTTGATATTATTTATATAATAATATATACTTAATTAAATTATAATAATATAAATTACAATTTTTTTTTTTTAATCCTCTGTCAAACTAGTTATGTATACTTTATTAAACATTTATAAATTATATATATAATATGAATCATTAAAGCTAAAAAATACTAACTAACTTATTTATCTTTGAATTACTACTCTAAGTATAACTTTGGAAGTAATTTATTGCTCTATTAGGAGTTCAGATGAAAACCTATCTAACTTTTAATATCATTGTCTACAAGTCAATACTGCATATTATTCTTTCAAGTTTTGACATTACTTAAAATTCAACCATTTTATTTCAAATCTAACTTCTTTTGATAAGATTTCTTTTAAGTCTTTATCTTCTAATTTTTTTCTTCTAATATTATAGTTTTTCTTTCCAATTATATAATTTTAGTACCTGAAAGATTAGAGGTCTTTTTATTTTATCCTTTTTTTAAATTTCTTGCAATCTTTTCTATTCTATTATTCTTTTATATCTTGTATTCCAGATCTTCTTCTAAAACTAGTTACAAGTTATATTTTGCAGTTTCTTGATCCATCTTTTTGCATCTTTTTTAATTCTTTTATTATAATATTTAAGATCCACTATCTTATTTCTTATTAATCTTGTAAATAAACTTAATATATTCTGACTAGTTGCTAAGAACTGTTCTACTAATCTAAATATCCACTTGTTTACTTCACCTATTTTTTCACTGTCATCTACTATTAATCTAGTATTCTTCTTTTTTATTTCCTTTTTCTTTCTTATAAGAGTTTTCTAAAATTCATCAGAACTTCTTTAAGATCTTTATTCTATATCTTTTTTATCTGTTTCTTGTATACTGGATATTCTAGCACATGATTAATTGTTTTTTTCTTTTGAAGATCACATGTACACATTTTACTTGCTTATATAAGTCTGGCCTTCTTATTATTAGTTTACTTGGTATTGGTAGCTCATCATTCATCTGCTTGATAAGAAAACTTTTTCTTTGAGAATTTTTGAAAGATGTATCCCATATATAGTTATTTATTCTTTCCCATATTACATCAGGAAATTTTTTTGACAAAGATCTTTGGAAATTTTGAACATAAAACTCTAGAGGTACTCTGTTATTATTAGAAGTCTCTAGAGCAAAGATTTATATATAGAACTCTAGAGATTTTTGAATGTTTTAAATTATAATAAAATAATTTCACACTATTATTAAAATATTTATTTTAAAAAATTTATTTATTAAAAATTACTTTTTTTTTTTTTTTTTTTTTTTTTTTTTAAATTAACCCTCTGTCAGGTTAGTTAGGTGTGCTTTATTAAACCTTTG